AGACAGCAGCAAGGTGCCTTGTTTGCTAGAGGAGCTGGGAAAGCCGTCAGAAGTCCGCAAAGATCATCAAGCAAAACAAAAGAAAAGAAGCGACCGTTTGCTCTGTATGGGTGGGGAGAGAAGCAGATGAATACAGGAAGCCAAAGGACTCACAACGTCCTGGTGTCCGCCCCGCTGAGCGAGGTATGTGCTGCCTGCCCTCTGCCCTGGGGTGGGCTCAGGCTGTGTCCCATCCCTGTCATACCCTGTGGTCACTGGGAGATCGTAAGGGCCAAGGAAACACAGCGGGAGGAATCTGCATGTCAGCTGCCAGGAGCCGGCCGGCACCGGAGGGCTCACAGCACTGATCCAGGCGAACACATGGGCGGTCAGGGCCTTTGGCCCGCGAGGTGGGGCTGGGGGTGTGGTGGGGGGGACTTGGCTGGGGTGTCGGGGCGTGAGAGGTTCCCTGGTCCTGCGCTCCAATAACTGGGCGTCCTCCACTCCTGTTTCTGGTTCGTGGCTCAGATCGCTCTCTCGGCAGCTTGAGTCTGCCCTACACCCCTTTGTTCTTGGGATTAAACTCCAATGACTATTCCCACTCAAATACACCTGATGCCTTGGACTCCCAGGACCTCAGTTGTCCTCTGACACAAGCCTGGCCTGCCCCTGCTCACTGTCCTGAGAACATGTCAGATGGATGGCCCTCCCGTGTGGAGCCACAAAGCAGTCATGTATGTCAGTGTTCATTAATACTGTTCCTTCAGCCTAAAGCAAAGAAAGAACAAGAAGCAGCAGGAGAGGTGGAAACTGTTTGAATGGTGGTTAAACACCATAATCACGTTTTACTGAACAGGCTTCTGAACCCTGGTAGATGGTGGCATTTCGAGTGATATTTGAGACAACAAAGCTGTGGTTTAAGCAGAGACCTCTGGCAATACCTTGGGATTAAGTTCAATAGGCTTTACCTGTCATATAAAATGTCTTAGGAGGTAAAATTGCTTGAGATCCTTCTTAGTAATTTGCTATGAAGCAAAGTCCTTCAGTGGCATATATGTCGGTGCCTAATGCAGTCCCAGTAGTTTTTCTGAGCCCGTTTCCGGAGGCACAATCAGGTTGCTTCCCCTCGGCATCGGACATTTAGTGCAGTGAATACGTTCTGTCGCTCCGTTTTGTATCATTGATGGTGGGTCAGCCACAGACTCGGCACAGCTCCCTCGAGAAGCTTCTGTGCGCAGAGCGACAATGACAAGACAGGGCTGGCCTCCACACTGCTTCAAGTGACCTGGGGTGGCTTCACTGCAGAGATAGTCTTGAAAATTAGTACAAAAGCCACTTAAGTGGTTGTACCTTGATTTTTGAACTCTCCCTAGATTCATGAGTCAGCATTACGAGCCAAGAACAGGAGACAGGTGGAAAAGAGGAAACTGGCTGCTCAGAGGCAGCGGGCTCACTCAGACGATGTGGAGAAAAGCAGAAGGACCAAGCCTTTGTCTTCGGAGAACCCGTGGATGACTGAGTACATGAGATGCTACTCGGCTCGAGCCTAAAGGAAAAAGCAGCTGTCTGGACAGCTTCCTTTAAGAAGTCTAAATGCAAGAAGAACAAACAAAAATCATCAAAAGCAACTGGACACAGGTCTAAAGAAACCAACTGATTATGCCGGGTTTTTCTTAAGGAGTTTCCTAAAGGTTGCTGTTTGGATGAACCCTCGTCACCTTCCTCAGCAGCAAGGTGACTGACAGTTGAAACCACAGACACTTGGTTATTTATGAAGATAATTCCCTAAATCTTTGATATTCTTACAAGGGTTTTGTTTTAAAGCATCTTAATCCTTTAAGATATCGACACCAAATGCCTTTAAATGGCTATAGATGCTTCACACTCAGTAATTTTTCTATAAGTTCTATAAATTTTCCCAGTCTTTTCCCTCATACCTTCCTATTGTTTTGAATATTACAAAAGTACTAGTACATGGTTAAAATAACTTAAAATAAAAAGACGTATA